TGTTCGAAATCAAAACGGTGGTCCTGCTCGGCCATGTGAGACCATATTTGCGAGTACTGCTCGCCTCTTCTAATGGCCAAGTTGTGTTCGTGGAGGCGGGTCTTAAGTCTTTTAGAAGTCTCACCCACGTAGTGGCTCTTGCAATCCATGCAATTAACTCTGTAGACCACCGCCAATCTTTCCATCGTGGGGAGGGGGTCCTTTGGGCGCATAATTTTTGACCGTAATGTTTGGTCTGGCTTATGAGGCACTTTCACGTTGTAAGGGGCCAGTAACCTGGCCGTAGCCTCCGATACATTATTAATATATGGCAACGTGATGCGCGTGGTTTGCGTGCTAAGTTCCCTCCTCCGTTGGTCGTTTTGGGGTCTCGGTATTCTGCTGTGGCGTCTTACAAATTTTAAGGGGTAGCCATTCAAGCGGCAGACCCGGTGCAAGTGCCTCCTCTCTTCAAATTTAGACCTCACTGTGCTGCAATGCGTGTGTATACGTTGGAATAGCATCCTAATACAGCTGGCCTTATGGGAAACCGGATGATTACTATTATAATGGAGGATACGGTCTGTATGAGTTGGTTTACGATAGACCTTGGTTCTAATGGAGCCATCCGGTAATCGTTGGACCATCACATCCAAGAAGGCTAGCGAGCCTCGCGTCTCCTCCTCCATAGTAAACTTAATGTCTGGGTAGATGGAATTTAATATTCCCATAAGGTCAGCTCTATGCGCCCGTTTGACGACAACAAAGGTGTCGTCAACATACCGCACCCAAAACCTGGGTCGGTATCGGGTCATAGCCTCACGTTCCAGCTGCTGGAGAACTGCCTCTGCTATGACACTGGAGATGGGGGAGCCCATGGGTGTGCCTTTCACCTGCTCGTAGACAGTCCCTTGGAATGTGAAATACGTAGTAAGGCAGAATCCAACCAGCTGGATCAAATCCTCAATACGCAGGGAGTCCCGGGAGTGGTGCCCTTCTTGTTGCTTGAGTTGTTCTTCTACCACTTTAAGGGCTAAACTTCGAGGGATGGAGGTGAAGAGGGAGGTAACATCAAAGGAAACTATCACCTCATCCTCCTCCACCCTCAAGGTTCTTATTCTTTCCAGGAACTCACCTGCTTATTTTACGATGGTGGGACTGTCCTCCACCAGGTGGGAGAGACGACCACTAAGCCACTTTGCTAACCCTGAAATGGGGGTACCCCGGAAGGAGACAATGGGACGGAGTGGGACTCCCTCTTTATGAATTTTTGGGAGTCCATAGAATCTGGGGAGTGCCGTATCGGTGGGACGTACCCTCCTAACGGTATTCTCCTCCATTTTCTTAGTTCACTTAAAGCACTCTAAGGTTTTATTTATCCTATTATTCATTGTCACCCTGGGGTCCCCTTTGATGACCTTATAGGCTGTTCTATCTCCCAATAACTCCAGTACTTTGGTCACATACGATGTCCTGTCCATTATGACAGTCGCCCTGCCTTTGTCAGCCGGGAGTACGGTAATAGTATGATCCTTCCTAAAATATTCCAGGGCCTCTTCTTCTTCCCTGGATAATGCTCGGTAGCCCCTATGCCGTAACAATAACCCAGTGACCTGTTGTTTAATAAGATCCTTGGAGTCTTCCCTCATCTCCACCCGGTGCATAGCCGGTTCCAAGGCTGCAATAAAGTCCAGCAGGTGGGCATCCGCGAGGCTATGTCCCACATCACGCTGCAGCAAAGCGAGCTGGGAGTTGGTGAAACCCTTGGAGGACAAGTTGTGCACCAGTCTGTGTCTAAACCCACCATCACACAAACCACGTAAGCTACTCACCTTACCCTGGAGGCGTGTGGCCGTTCGCTGGCCAGTCCTATCCGCCATAAGCCGGACATGACGGTCAAGTAGTTGAAAGTGCGCTGCCGACAAGCTCTCATTACACTGTTCCCGGTGTTGGTGGGCCCCTTTCTTCAAGGCCTCCACTCTCCTGTGCTGCTCATTAACGAGTGCTCGCATCGTGAGCCAGACCAAACATTACGGTCAAAAATTATGCGCCCAAAGGACCCCCTTCCCACGATGGAAAGATCGGCGGTGGTCTACAGAGTTAATTGCATGGATTGCAAGAGCCACTACGTGGGTGAGACTTCTAAAAGACTTAAGACCCGCCTCCACGAACACAACTTGGCCATTAGAAGAGGCGAGCAGTACTCGCAAATATGGTCTCACATGGCCGAGCAGGACCACCGTTTTGATTTCGAACATGCCCAAGTTCTTGCCACTGATGCCACCAAAAGCGGCCGATTATTGAAAGAGGCTTGGTTTTCGAATCGGGACTCGATCAACCGGCATGTGGACATATGTCAGGCACATCAGACCCTCAAGGCATGGCACAACAATCGCCACAGTAGAGGCTTGGGCCGCAGAATGGACGCGCCTGGGGCCATCACCCTTCGGGGTACGGGGGCTGATGCAGTGGCCCAAGATCCTGAATGTCCCACACAGGAGATTCCTGTCTGTAACCAGCAATTGCAGGGGCACCAACGCATCTCGGGTGGACCTAGCATGAGGAGAAGACCTCAGGGCAAGATGGAGTGCCCGCTGATCGTGGAAAGGAAGAAGGAGGAATCACAGTGTGAATCGAGGGTGGGGGATAGTTATGAGTGCACAGAGGAGCAAGATGGACTACGAAACGGAGGATTGGGAGGCGCATGGTCTGCCGCGGGTAAAAGGGGGAGGGAGGAAACGGACCGAGGCTTGATTGGGCACCCCCGTTATGGGGGAGTTGACCACAGAATGAGGAAAGGCCCCCGTAGAGCATGCAAGGAGGGTACAGGATCTCAAGAAAGTATGGATCAGAATGTGAAAAGAGTAGTGGAAAGTGTGGTGGAGTGTGCAGAGGAACGGAGTGAACAACAATACGAAAGACTGAGGGACGCGCGGGTCTCGGCGGAAAGGGGACGGGGGAAATAGATTGAGGAGAGGAATGGAGCGGATGGCGAAACGCAAGATCGAGGGACGCGCAGGTTTCGGCGAGTGAAAGTGGGTGGGGGGGAACGGACCGAAGCTTGGCTGGGTACTCCCGCAACGAGGAAATTGGTTGCGGGAGGGTGAAAACTCCCCGCAGGCCCCGTGGGCCGGATGAGAGATCGCATGGAGGCGTGGAGGATTGTGTAAAAGGGGTGGTAGAACACGGAAGGGTTTATGGGGGAGAATGTGGAGCTGATGGGGAGTTGGGTGAGGAATTGTCACAACAGGAAGATTGGCTGGAGGAAGGGAGTCCGAGCGCAAGTGGTGGTGGAGTGGATGTCTGTTGTAGGATTGGAGGGAGAGTGCGGAGTAAGCTGCGAAGGGAGGGGGTGGGAGATGCACGAAGTGCCAGGATCGGAGGGGGGGAGGAAGGAGCCGATCAAGGCTTGATGGGGACGCCCAGCAAAGGAGAAATTGGTTGAAAGCCCATCGAAGACCCCCGGAGGCTCCATGGCTTTGACAGAGGGGATGGCAGTACGGATGAAAGTACCCTGGGGACTAATGGATATGGCAGTGACTATGAGGGTAGGAGGGGGACTAATAATACAGTAGGTGGGGTGCCAGCAGAGAATGTAGCGCTGGATCTGTGGAGAGAAGGGGAGTTGAATGTGGGTGAAGGTTTGAAAAGGGCGATGGATGGAGGTGAACGGGGGATGCCGAACGGACAGGAATGGCAGCCCAGCCAATACTCCTCAACGAGATCATGTGCAGAAAGGGGGCCCCGGGATGTAGGAGGGTGACCCCGCACGAAAGGCGACGGCGGCAGGAGGATGGAGGGGCGGGGCAGTCAGGATGATGGTACAGAGAGAGGCAATCCACCCGGTACGAATGTAGGAGAAAGGGGGGGAAAGACTGATTGTGGCTGGACTAGACCCTGTAGAAGTGATGAGTTTGAGGGAAAGGGTGTGGAAGGTGAAGCGGAGGAGAGACGTAGGAAAGAACCCCAGCTGGCCCATGATAGAAATACTCAAGGACCGCATAGTGACAAACGGGAAAAGAAGGCAAAGGAGTTACATGCGGGTAAAAGAAAGATACTCACAGTGCAGGAACACACGTACCGGGGCCCGATCACGCGCTCACGCAGCCGGATGCAGACATTTGGAAGCGGCATATAAACCCTCCCTAGAAACCGCCTTATCAACCCTGATGATGTCGGGAGAGCCCGACGAAAGCTTGGTTGCCTGTAATATTTTTAACAATGTTTTAATTGCTTTTAAACTTTTAATCGCTTTTAAACATTTTAAATTTCCTCTTGGTGATCGTGGTCATTTTGATACAACACACACACACACACACACACACACACACATATATGTATGTATGTATGTATGTATGTATGTATGTATGTATGTATGTATGTATGTATAATAAAGTTGGAAGGCACCTTGGGGGTTATCGAGTCTAACTCCCTGCTCAGGCAGGAAACCCTACACCATTTAGGACAAATGGCTGTCCAGTCTCTTCTTAAAAACTTCCACTGTTGGAGCATTCACAACTTCTGGAAGCAGGTTGTTCCACTGGTTAATTGTTCTAACTGTCAGGAGGTTTCTCCTTAGTTCTAGGTTGCTTCTCTCCTTGATCAGTTTCCATCCGTTGCTTCTTGTCCTGCCTTCAGGTGCCTTGGAGAATAGCTTGACTCCCTCTTCTTTGTGACAGCCCCTGAGATATTGGAACACTTAGTGCATATGTTTGCATTAGTAGTCTCAAAGATGCTTTTTCAAGAGGCAACTTGACTTTCTTGTTTTTCTTTGAAGATGTTTCGCTTCTAATCCAAGAAGCTTCTTCAGCTGTCACAGAAGCTTCTTGCATGAGAAGTGAAATGTCTTCAAAGAAAAACAAGAAAGTCCAGTTGCCTCTTAAAAAAATACATTTGAGACAATTGCGACCTGGATGACTGAGAATCTCCATAGATGTTTGCATTAGTAATATAATATAACATATAATAAAATACTGAAGAAAATTGAATTAATTGTTTTCCTTTGAATTCTTTAAATTTAGATCACACCAGCTTCAGGTACTCATCCACTTCTAGTTTTTGTTAACCCTAAAAGTGGAGGAAAACAAGGAGAAAGGTATGTGTTTCTTCATGATCTTGCTAAGATCATCAGTTTGATTTAGGCAGAAAACCAATTCATTTAATTACTTTTTGAAGAGAAAAAAAATAAATGCATGTATTTTACATTTTGTTTTCCAAAGCTACTTAACGCTAATTACATAGAACAATGTTAATAATAAAATGATGTTGAACTATGACCAATTTGTTAATTAGATTAGGTTATGTTTCCATTCCTACGTTTATTTATTTACCTAGAGTTATATCCTTTCCTTTTTTGAAATATGTTTCAAATTGAAAAATTGCCCTGTCTTTGGTAAGCTCTTGGCTTGTTAAGTTTTATTTTATAGATCACAATAAATATAGCCTATAAATATTATGACTACAGTTTTGAAGTTCCATTACAAGTGGGATTTATTAATTATAACTAACTGTGGTTATTTGGGTCTATGTTGCAATATCTTTGGAGCTCAATTGATAATGCTGTTGGATTTTTGACTCCTCTGGACCTTCTATTCCTTTTAGATATCCCAGTTATAAAACTGTTTCAGCCACCTTTCCTTTTTTTTTTTTTTAACTTTTGACACTTTCCATACTTCAAATATTGGTCAATTCTGCAGTCTTCCTTTTGGAAGGATAGATAAACTATCAGCACTTTAGTTTATTTTCTTACTATTATTCTTTCTTTTTCTTAATAATACATGTCTCTATTTCTTTGACACTTTTTCATTATTCAGGGCCACATTATCACAAGAATTATTTCTTGGGAGCTATATTGCATATTCATGGAGGGGTAGGAGTTGTAATGTAAGCAACAAAAAAGATGGCATAGTTTCCTTTCCTCCTTTCTTTTTTTTTTCTTTGTTCCCTTTTTCTTGTCTAAAAGATTGTTAGGGAAAGAATAGATACCTTTCACCAGAAACATGATTTTGAAAAAAGACATTTTAAAATTAAACTAAGGTCCATATAGAGGTGCTTAGTTATCTACTGCTACTTTTAACCTTTCCTAACTATTTTGTTCTACTTTATTTAGTCTGCCATGATTCTGTGTTTTTATTTAAAATCTCTTGCTGAATTCTAATTAATTAATTTCAGTTATCTGGTTCCTTGATCCCATTGTCCAAAATGCAAATACACTATGTATTGAGTTACATTACTTTCAACTTTCTAGTTATCTAGCAGAAAGTTTCTCCTTGGAAAGCTTTATTAAACAACAACAAAAATAACAGCTTAAAATAACAACTAACCATGTTCTCATTCAAACAAAAAAAAGGAAAAAATACAGGTATTAGGATGATGTGTTGATTTGGTCTAAAATTGCAAGCAATTGCTCTTGTCAGTTGTCTGCTCCAATAATCATGATAGTTACAGTTCATCCAAAAGGAAGTCAGTCACCTGACTTTCTTTTCCCTTTTTCGGGACCATATTCAGGCTAGGAATAATAGATTTAATTAATTTAATTAACGTTAACCAGTGATCAGTCATTGGCAAATGTATAGGTGGATGTAATATATACTGCTCACAAAAATAAAGGGAACATTTTACCATGGAACTGAAGGGGTTTGCGTTCCCTTTATTTTTGTGAGCAGTATATATAAGAGATCCATTTTCATATTTTTATATTAAAATTTTATTCAAGTAGTCCTTGACTACAATTCATTTAATGATCATTTGCAATTACAATGGCATTAAAAAAGTGACTCTTCTCTTAGATTTGTAAAATAGAGAAATGTTCATTTAGTGATAAAATTCCAAAAGATTTGATTGACCAAAATTTTAGGCAACAATAACAAAAGTAAAGTTGTAAGGCTCAAGGGTCTGTAGGTATGCTCTCTTTGCCATAGACAGTACCTCTACAGGTTAATAGGCTATTGATATATGACAAATAGATTTTGAAATGGACTAAAATTTGAAAAGCAGTTTGCAGTACAGTACATCATGTACAAATGAATTTAAGATCTTTCTTAACTAGGTCTTGCTTGATATCTTATTTACTTTACTTTGCTCTTGTTTACAAATTATGCAGAATAAATGTTAGTGTGCTCATCTGTCTATATATCCTGAAATATTAACATTGGTAAGATAGTGTGGGATGCAGTATGACTTTGTTTAATCCAACATATTATTATGTGGTAGAACTGCCAAAACATAATTTGTTGCCAATAAAATTCAAATATTTTTCTATCCGCAACCATAGAATTTATAGGAAATTTCAGTATCTTCTGAATCCTCGTCAGGTTTACAGTCTTGCAGGAAATGGACCAATGCCAGGGTAAGTCTGCATGTTGTCAAACATGAACTTATTAAATAACATAGTCTAAAACACAATGATATTCTGGAAATATTGTATAAAGAGAAATTAATTTAAGAAATATATTGCTGTAGCTTGATGACATAGTTGAGAGTTCTTCCGGATTTTTAAATGTAAGAAATACCTTCTACTTGATATATATTAACAAAGTTTTTTAAAAGCCTTACAGTACTTAAAAGAAAGAAAAGAAGAATCATATATTTACACACAATAGCATAACACCACAAGAGGGTAGTGTTTTGTGAATATTTATTTTTAAATATTTAGATCATTTCCAATTTTTATTTTTTCCATTTAAGAAACTACTTAGTCTTAAAACATTAGTAAAGAAACTGCAAAAACTTCTGATTAATTATCTGTCCAATATTGCATAGCCTTATTTATTTGTGTTTTTCTTATGCAAGTTAATTTAATTCTGATTTCCCAGGCCATGTGTGTACATATACATATATTTATACTATTTATTTCTTTGTCGTGGCTATCAGTTGGATACAAATTTCTTTCAGTAACAAAGAGGCTTTATAAATCTAGTTAGTTCAATGAACGTAGGCTTACAGATAAGAAGTCAGGACCACATATTATTTCTACCGACTATATCTCTGTCTTTCACCTGCCAGCTGTAGTCTTATACCAACCCAATCCTAAGAGACATATCCTTAGAGGCCTGAGTCACTTTTAAAGGCAGCTAGCATGTGTCAAGCTGTGTTTCAAAACTAGAAAGCATAATTCATGGGACCAAGTTCCACAGATAAAGCTCTGATCACATTCTTAAATATAACTCAGATATTTAATTGGAACATTCAGTAGCCAACTGGAAAAGGAGTATGTTAACCTGCCTCTGGCCAGCCCTACTTAAATGGTCTAATATGGTTGGAATTGCTGCTCCATTTTTCTATCCTCTCTTATCACTTCCCAGTCATATCTCTTTGCAAATATTCGTGAACATCTGAAAGGAAGGTTAAGGTATTGCTTCTTTGGGCATTACTGAATATTCTCCAAAATTTTGTTATTTTGATAGTTTATAATATCTGTTTCTGTATTGTAGTTCATTATTCAGAAATGAAATAACCATTATCAGATTCACTCACTTGAAGAGTCAGATTTCTTTGTTCTTTGTTTACATTGATAACCAAAGAGATCATTGCCGATTTCAGAAAAGGCAGGCACAGCCATACTCTTCTGTGTATTAATGATTCACCTGTGGAGATGATTTTCAGCATCAAATTTATGGGTGTGCAGTTAATGAGCAGGCTGGCTTGGTCGCTCAACAGCAAGACACTGGTAAAGCGAGCACAGCAGCACCTGCATTTTCTGCATCGCATGAGAAAAGCATGTTTTCCTTCTCTATCCTTACCACTTTCTACAGAGGGATGATTGAGAGCATCCTGTCATACAGCATTACAGTTTGGTTTGGAAGCATCACTGCTTCAGACAGGAAGGCGGTGCAGAGAGTGGTGAGGATGGCAGAAAAGCTCCCTTCCATCCAGGACATAGCATATAAGCATTGCTTGAGCAGGGTCCACAAGAATGTCTGGGACACTACACATCCTCTTTGTGATATGTTTTCTTGGTTACCTTCTGGGAGGATACCTTTGTGGTAGCCGAAGCAGAAAATTCAGATTCAGTCACAGTTTTGTTCCATACAGTATTAACCTTGTAAACTCTAAAGCTTCCTCTTTCCGCTATGTATTCAAGATAGACAGTGATTAATATTTAAATGTTATTTATAGGTAAGAGTGTAGGTTTATACATATTTGTATGTAGCATGTTTAAATGTTATATATGTGTACACTCTTGAGAGCAAGCAACAAAATTTCATTTTTAATGTGTGCTAATGTGCCCACAGTAAAAAATGACAATAAAGCTTTAGATAGATAGATCTATCTATCTATCTATCTATCTATCTATCTATCTATCTATCTATCTATCTATCTATCTATCTATCTATCTATCTATCTATCTATCCATCCATCCATCCATCCATCCATCCATCCATCCATCCATCCATCCATCCAATTCCTGGTTGCTCTTCTCTGTTTCTGAGTCCCTGACTATTTGAGTTGAGGATGAATAAGAAAATGCATTTGACTTCAGTAATTTCTCAGTATAGATTTAATTAGACTAATTTTCCATTATACAGTAGTATTTTACTTCTACAGTCTAATTTATTGCTATTTTTATTTATTCTTTTTAAAATTTCTTCAATGAGCCTTTCTACATTTTTCTTCATAATTTTTACCTTAATTAACTTGGCCTAAAAGTGGATGAGTGTAAATAAGCTGAATTGATTCTTACTGCTACAACACTAAGACCCTCCTAGGCTAGTACAGGAATTTTCAAAAAAAAATCAGGCTGTAGAACCTTCTGGTTAAAAAAAAAAAATACTGAACCCCTGATCAAAAGGCACAACTATTGATAAAAATTTGTCTGTTTTCAAATGTGGGATTTTTTTGCCCTTAAACTCTATGGAGATTTATCACCTTTTCACAGAACTATAGAATTCTATGGAACACATTGTGAAAATCCTGATTTAGTAGATTCATTTACTTTAAATCAGAAGAAAGGTATAAAGAGTGGGGTTTGCAGCATGCCTCAGTGCCTATTAGCTTTCTTTTCAAGTGGAAAGAGGACAACCAGAAAGGAATCTCTCTCTTCCTACAGCAGCTATATAAAAAAAACTTTCCTTTGAGCTTTTTTCTCAAGTTTTAAAACAGACTGAAACAGAACAATCTGAAGTAAACCAGTCACATTGCTATTTGAACAAAGCAGTTTTAAGGAGTCTGGTGTGCACCCCTAATTTGTCTCTAGGTGTATCTTGTTGCAATCCACGACAAAAGCAATCCACGACAATTTTGCTTCACAATATTTTTGCAAAGATTACACTATACAATTCCTTTGAGGCGGCATTTGCTTCTGAGTGGCAAGCAAGAGGTCACACTCCAAAAAACAGATAGAGCACGGCAAGAAATTGAGAAGGAGCAGGACAATCAATACATTTGATTTAATTGAATTTTAAATTAAATGAATTTAATTACTTTAATATTACTGAAATTACATTTTAATTATATTATTACTTAATTTAGAATCATTATACTTCATGTAATTTCTGCTTCTGCCACATGCAAATCTACAGTTTGGTGGCATCCTTGTTGTGAAGGATGCGCTGTATATTTACTAAACATATGAATTAAAAAAAATTAAAAAGTGGGAGTGGTGATGGGGGAGGGAAAAAGAGAGCTGCAAGGGTAGTTTGGTACTTTTTCTTCAGTACATCTTATTTCGTTAAGGACCAAATTCAGTCCAACCTTAATGAAACAGTAAGATGGGCTCTCCCGTAAAATCAAATATATCCCTTTGCAATGCCTAAGTATATTTTCTTGAAGCTTAACTTTAAGTATTAGCTTTGTGGATTTAATTTTTTACAGTGATAATTTGACTGACAAAAATATATTGTTTGATTAATATTACCTTGATATTAAAATTCCAGCATGAGAAAATGAGTGTAAATTAGAGAAACCATGCAGGCTCTGCAGCTGAACATAAATGTAAAATAGAACAATACATTTAGAAAAAAGTCTTGCTTAACAAAGTGACATGAAAATTGCCATTCTGGTACACTGTGCAGTTTGTAATATGCACCTGTTTTACTTTTGAAAAGAGTTACTGTTCACTATTCTGTAGGAGCAAACCATTTTGTCAACAATTGCTACAGTTGATTTACATTGAATAATCTGTAATTCAGGTAATATTCATATTATAAATAAACAACAATTGTGTAAATAGCAATTCAGTGGCATGTCTCTGTGAAAAGCATAGAGGTCACTTTTCCTGGCAAGGAAATGTTTCTAAATTATGCTATTTTAAAAACCTGCAATTGTTTTTCTTCAACTTTCTCATATTTTGCATTCATATTTTGCATTCATATTAAGTTCTTTAAAGCTGTGAGGATATTTATGCAATTCTTAGTTTATTTCTCAGAGCATTGCTCTTACTAACTTGCAAAAATATGCAGAATAGTGTTAATTTTGATATCTAAGAAATTACATTTTGAATATATTGTCACTATTATGGTTGCTGAGAAAAATCAAAATCAAAATTCTCTGGCAATATGTAATCCATCATTTTCCCTTTCTGATGGTGAGGAAATAAAATAACTGGACAGTTCTTTATAATTTGATTTGGGAACCCATAGTTGCAAGCACTCTCTCATAAGCTATCACCTGTCCCTACTGACTACTGCTACAGTTAACAGAATAACCAAATTGGAAGGAACTTTGGAGGTCTTCTAGTCCAACCCCCTGCACAAGCCGGAGATCCTATACTATTCCAGACAGGTGGCTGTCCAGTCTCTACAATCTGGGTAGATTGTGGTTCCTAAATACTGTAGATGAATGAATCCAGGATCATCCTAGGAATGTTGCTCACTGAAAAGTCCACATCTATCAGGAAAATTTATTCCCAGAAACTGGCTAGCTTAAAAAGAGGAATAAAACATTGTAGCAGCTAATTCAATCTAGTTTTTATATTGATTGCAAAAAAATATCCTGAGGTATCTAATATAGTCTTTTGTCTGAAATTAGGACTTCTGCCCTGATGCCTATCACGATGCAAAAGTGCCTGATAAAATACTTATGTTGCCACTTTAAGTTCTTTAGTTGCTGAAGCAGTCTTCTAATTATATTGAACTTTTATCAGTCCCTAGCAAAATCCTTACGGAGATCCAGGACTTATGGAGGAAAGCAAGTTGAGCAGAACTATCTCAGAGGGTATAAGTATTTAATTTCCCAAGCAGGAATGAGCAGGATTGCTTCTTCAAAAAAATACCTGCTTACCATTTTGTTTTAATTTTTATTTTATTTTATTTTATTTTATTGAACTAGAAGTGAGCTTCTTTTAGATAAATAAAGATTACTCCTTATATCTGATTTAAAATTCAAATATTTATTATAAACCATATTATTAAAATTTTCTCACTGCCCAGTGGATCTTCCAATAGTGTTTCAATACTTGTTCTGCCTTCTGTATAGAATAGATACTTTTTTCCAGAGTCTTATACTTTTGATTGCCATTGAAGGGTGTTTTGATTTTATGTCTGCAGCAATATTTCAGTGAACTGAGAGCATAATGACTCTGGAAGTGATGTCCTACTTTGTTTTCATATCTAATGTTTTCATGTCTTTCTTGAAAAACGTAGTTACTGTATTATGCCTAAATCTGTTTGTCATTAACTGGAATTATAAACTGCAAAAATAAGAACTTTTGTTATTCATCTATTACAAGTATACTTCAGTGTTGAACAGTCCAAATAATTTACCAAAAATGAAAATAACAATCTATAATGTGCTACTTCCATTTTTCCTTTCACAGGTTAATGTGTCCGATTGTCAATTATTTTATGAATGTATCCACATATAGAGATATTCACTTCATCATGGGTCTAGTACACGGGTGTCAAACTCGCCACATCATGTGACATGTCGCAATATATCGTGACTCTTTTTACATTGCCGGCAATGGGATGGGCGCAACTTTGGTATGATGAAACTGGCCTGCAGGCCGGTAATTTGACACCCCTGGTCTAGTATATTTAATTGCTTCTGTGGTGCAACATTCATATACATTTTTGAACTGTTTGAACTGTTGATATAATTTAAATTAAGAATTATTAACTAAGATATTGTTTTAAAAGCAGACATCCTCATTATGTTAGAGAATTATTTTGCATTGGAAGTACATTATGTCTACTGTATAGTGCAGATTTAATTTGGTTTTAACTTGTGTTTAAAAACTGTTATGGTTAGCTGTAGGTTGCAGAAAAATGATGATCTTTATGACTGGTTGGCCTCTACATACCAGTTAATCTTTATATCTTAAAATATAGTTTCCCAGGAGATTAATATTTTACTGCTCACCATAATAAACTGCATGCTATAATGAAACTAATTTTATTATATGCTTTTGCAGTAATTACCATCTTAAGGATATATATAACATGTTCTTGTAATATAGACCATTGTATTTGAAAATTATAATTGTTATGAAGTATGTGCTGTCCTGCTGCAAGTTGTATTTAGCTGTTTCTTTTTTCAAAGTGAGAAAGGATATCTGTGTGTAAATATTCTATTCAATGTGTTAGTAAAGCAAGCTTCTGAGACATAATTTCATTTTTTTTTTTTTTACTTTTCAGATTAAATTTTTTTCGAGATGTTTCTGACTTTAGAGTATTGGCATGTGGTGGTGATGGAACAGTAGGTTGGATTTTGGACTGCATAGGTAACATGCATTTTTGTTTTACATAAAACTAGTAAGAAATTATTTGTATTGTATAAATAATTCTAAATTCATTAGAAAAAGCCAAACTTTGTTTGCTTCATGTTGGAGTAATTAAAAAAAGGGAGGTTACAGAAAGGAAGTTGGTTATGAGAGTTTGGGGAAATTATGAAACAGATATTTTTAGTTATTGAAATGCTTCATATATTGCTGATAGGGAATGTCTAATAGTATTATAATTCTTTGTTAATGCATTGGATTTTTGTCAATTATATAGGATACAGTTCATCAAATTGTAATATCCTATATAATAATGACTTTATACCTCAATATTGAAGAGACATATAAACATAGAACATAACAGAATTGGAAGGGACCTTGGATATCTTCTAGTTCAATCCCATGCTCAAGCAGGAGACCCTATATCATTCCAGACAAATGGCTGTCCAATCTCTTCTTGAAAACCTCCTATGAAGGAGCACCCTCAACTTTTGATTAATTGTTCTCACTATCAGGTAATTTCTCCTTAATTCTAGGTTGCATCTCTGTTTGATAATCTTCCACCTGAAACTTCTTGTCCTGGCTCAGGTGCTTTGGAGAATAGGTTGACCTCTTCTCTATGACAACCCCCAAGTATTGGAATACTGCCATCATGTCACTCCTAATTCTTCTCTTTGTTACTCTAGGATACCTAGTTCCTGCAACTGTTCAGTGTATCATTCAACTTCCAGAACCCTTTTTATTTTTGTTGCTCTTCTCTGCACTCTTTCTAGATTCTCAGCATATGAGTATTTCTTAAAATTATCATTATTTTATTATAAACTGAAAATATTTTATCCATAGTTTATTTTACTTCTTAAGATTTGCTAAACAGATAACTTGACCTGGATGCATAGTGCAAAATTTATGTAAGATTAATCAATATATTAATAGTTAAGAAACAATACATATTTGTGTATATAACTGCATACAGGCAATTCTTGACCTATAATTGTAATGTCTCTTGCCCATTATATTACAAATCATGATGGTCATTAAGTGAAGTAGCAACATGATCATCTTGCTTAATGACTCCCATCCTTGCTGTCCCTAATGTGCTTGTTCATTGACCACACTGGTTATTAAGTAGAGCCTCGGGTGAGGAAGCCCTAGTAGGTCAAGCATAGGCCCAGGCCTGCTTTTCCTGAACTTTCCCACCCTTGAGACACTCTTCCTCTGCTTCCCATTTCTTTGGGTCCTCGTAGTCCTTAGACCTGCTTTTCTTCTCACACCGGATATCTGGAGGCCTTTCTCCACTATCAGTACCGGCAGGCCATAAACCACAGAGCCAATCGGTCTTGCCAGGGTTGAACAAAAAGCCTGTTGCCTCCCATGTAGATCCTCATATTTCCAGCCACCAGGGGATGGATGACCTTACCCAGGTTCTCATATGTATGCTAAATAGGAGTGGGGAGAGAGAAGGGCTCTAAGACACCCCATAAACTGGGGGCCTTGGGCTCAACTTCTTCCCCACCCAACACTAACTGGAACTTGATTTGAAAATGGGAGGAGAACCTTTGCAACACAGTGCCTCTCACTCCAATCCCCAGATTCAGGTCAGAAAGAAGCCATGATTGATGGTATTAAAACTACTGAGAGATCAAGTGGGGCCAAGAATCCTGATTGAAAATGTCCATATAATCCACTTATTCTGGAGTTGGAAGCCAACCACCTTCCCTAAAAAGGGAATCTTCGAGACGGGGAAAATTGTCCAGATCTGCTGTTATAATTTATATAACAGATGGATTCATGAATGGAAGTTTGATAAGATTTTGGACAGAAGGATCTGGGTACAATGAATAATGGGAGAAGGATATTCGATGGAGACTGCTGCAGCAGCGGCAGAGGCTTCTGCTGCATCCAAAGCATAAGCTAAGGATTTGTTTGATTTTCTGGGGTATTATGAATAATAAGGGGTATGTATGTGTTATATTGATTATGTATGTATTTGTTTGTTTGTTTACCTCTTCCCAATAAGTTTGTATGGAAGTGATATAATCCATTCCAATATTAAAATTATGATATTTTATGAAATTATATATTTTCATCAATGGTTTGTAAACCTTTCACTATCTGTCTCAAGGTGAAAAACCAGATCTGTCATGGTCAGCTGATGCAAAATGCAAATTCAATTGTATTTGGACTAGGAGCCTTACTAAATCCTTGTGTTGTTTACATTTTAGATGTATTTTTAAATTGAAGTGCTTATTTATATCTCACGTAGCATTAAGAAAGATGAACAATTCTTTCAATTAGAAATGGTTTATAATATGTGACATGCATGAAATTATTATTTTGAGAGGAAGATAGAAATAATACTTGGGGAAAAACAACATAGAAATAAAGATTATCAATTAAAGATAGACATGCAAAAGCTTTATGTCATTAAATGAAATTTAAAATATAACTAGAAATAAGAATAAGATTTAAATCAGTATGCAGAATAACAGTTTTTATAAATGTGTTAAGATTTTTGATTTAAGATAAATTACTTTTTTAAAAAATTGTTTCTTATATTTAATTTTTCATACTGGGTGCTGTTCTACCTGTTTTAATGTTTATTAAATGACAATTTTATATAAAATTTAATATTAGAAAGGATCAGCAAAATGTTTGGAGGCATATATATTCTCTTACATGTTAAACTGTGTATTAGAACTGCAAAAATGCACAGGAAATCCTGATAGTTTCCAATAAATTACTTTTTCTGTGCCAGCATGTTTAAAGTCCAACTACACTCTGTTACAGAATAATTGTGATACAACGTCTGAACCCTGGTTTGGTAAATAATGTTTTAAAAATGCAGAGTTTAGGTAGTTTCTATCTACAGAAACCATGAGACAAAGTACTCACCAATATTCCTGAAAAATCTTCTGTTCATTGAAAAAAGAAATACAAGTTTCCCTTGAGAAGGAACATTAAAGCTAACTGGAAAAGGCTGCACAAGCAGTTCTCAAAAATCAAAGATGTGGCTGAGAACCTAACCAAAATAATTAGGCCTACAGATTACTACCCTTCTTCCTCCACCACATTGGGACGAACGACACAATAAACAACCTGAGTACAAAAGTGAGAGATTATAAACAACTAGGCAATAAAATTATGAAGCTAGGAGCACAAGTATTCTCATCAATACTCCCAATGAAAGGCCAATGCCCACTGAGGGAAAAAAGAATTTTAGAAATAAACTATTGGCTAAAGGGTTGGTGTCGCCACGAAAACCTTGGTTTCTTGGATCATAGACTGTATTTCCTATGCAAAGGACTCTTGGCAGGGGATGGGCTGCACCTCATGATACAGGCAAAAATATACTTGGAAAAAGATTGGCCCAACTCATCAGGAGGGCTTTAAACTAAAACTGAAGGGGGAGGGTGACCAATCTCTAGAATCTCTAGAACCCAAAACCAATCACAAATCCCAAGAAAACAAATCAAACAATGAGGTAGGCAGTGATGAAAAAAAAAACTTAAACAACAATCTGGAGATACAGGAAACATACCCACGGACAGGCATAAAAGTCTTAAATGCTTATATATTTACTTAATAATAATAATAATAATAATAATAATAATAATAATAATAATAATAATAGTAAAGTTGGAAGGGACCTTGAAGGTCATCTAGTCCAACCCCCTGCTCAGGCAGGAAACCCTATACCATTTCGGACAAATGGCTGTCCAGTCTCTTCTTAAAAACTTCCAGTGTTGGAGCATTCACCGCTTCTGGAGGCAGGTTGTTCCACTGGTTAATTGTTCTCACTGTCAGGAAGTTTCTCCTTAGTTCTAGATTGCTTCTCTCCTTGATTAGTTTCCACCCATTGCTTCTTGTCCTGCCTTCAGGCGCTTTGGAGAATAGCTTGACTCCCTCTTCTTTATGGCAACCCCTGAGATATTGGGACACTGCTATCATGTCCCCCCTCGTCCTTCTCTTCATTAAACTTGGAGGGGAGGTCGGGATGGCCCGGAGTTAAGCAGTCCCTATGGGGGTGGTGCTACATATACAAATGCTCAAAGCTTGGGGAACAAACAGGGTGAAATAGAAGAAATAGTACATGAGGGAGGGTATGACATAGTTGGCATAACAGAAACCTGGTGGGATGAAACCCATGAATGGAATGGACTAATGGATGGATACAAATTGTTTAAAAGAAACAGGTCTACAAAAAGAGGAGGGGGAATTGCACTATATGTAAGAGAACACTACATATTACAGAAATGTACATGATCAAAGATAAAATCTCTCCAGAATGGGTCAATATAAAAGAGAAAAAAAGTGACATTGCCATAGGTGTATATTACAGGCTACCCAACCAATCAGAAGAAATAGATGAACTCTTTGCCAACCAGTTAACAAACATGTGTAGGAAGCATACCACAGTAGTAATAGGAGACTTCAACTATCCAGATATCAACTGGAGACAAACTCTGCAGTGAGCGGGAGATCAAACAGATTCCTAATCAACCTAGCTGACAACTTTGTTACCCAAAAGGTGGAGGAGGGAACTAGACATAAAGCTTTATTGGACTTAATCCTTACAAATAGAGAAGAAGTGATAGAGGGAATTGAAATTGCCGGAACTTGGGTGAAAGTGACCACATGACACTGGAATTTAATATAATGCAAACACTAGCAATAGAAAACAGAGTCTTTAACTTCAAAAAAGCTGACTTTAATAAACTCAGAGAGAACCTAGGAAAGATCCCATGGATGAAAATCCTAAAGGGGAAAACAACCCAAGAAGTGTGGGAAACCCTGAAAAATGCAATCATAAAAGCCCATATCAGCACAATACCATTGAGAAAGAAAAACAAGAAATTCAAGAAGAAATCAGTATGGCTGCACAAAGATTTCTCTGACAAACTGAAAGACAAAAAGGACAAATACAAAGTCAGGAAAGCAAAGGCTCAGAACGAACAGAGACTTGCAACAGAAATCAAGGATAAGGGGCGTTGGTCTTACCTGAA